AGGATACAGGCATCTTCGGTAGTTGTTAGTAGTAACTGTTTGTACAAACATTTTACTGGTTTGTTTCAAAATAAAAAGACCCTCTGCCATCCCTCTGGGGTGTGCACTTGTAGTAGCCACAGCATGGTGTGGGCTACACCTTGGATACCCAGTCCTGGCACCAGAAAATCAATATAATTTTAATTTCAGGTAGAATTCGCCTGGAGAAAAGTTTTTGTGCAATGCACTGCCGAGGAGCCTTTTCCTCAGCAGGGAACGTTCTCTCAAAGCATCCGATCCACTCTCATCTTCATCTGTGAGCACATCGCTAATTATCAAACTGTCCAGAGTCTAAACTGCACGTTACTGTGGGGACTGTGTCCGCTCTCCAGCACTCTGGAGGGAAAGGGAGGTTAAACACACAGGTTTTAATGGTGGAGGAAAGTGCACGGACCAGGTATGTGGTGGACAAGATTTATCTGTGCACAAATTTAGGGTAGGAGAGGGGATAAAGGGGGAAGGGAAAGGAAAGAAAGAAAAGAAAGAAAAGAAAACAAATCAGAATTACATGCAATATATATATAACAATAAGGAAAAATGGGTAGTGCAGACCAAAACACTTTGCCAGTTCGGGCTATCGTGATGTGCTAGGAACAAATTAGTGGTGGCAATAAAAGGAGCCAAGCAGAGAGTACCTGAGCAAGCAGAAGCGTGAGGAGTGTAAAGGGAATTTGGCCTCTTCAAGGACTAAGTTTCACAGTGTCTGGCCATCTCGATCGCAATTACCAGTAACAGCAACACTGCGCTGCTGCCAGGAACAACCTCACTGCTCCCGTTAGCCACCTTGGGAGCTGCTTGCTACTCAGGAGCCTGCCCAAGGCAACACCTCACTAACCTTCAGAGAGACCTGTGTGGCCTGTGGACCATATCTGCTCACTGTCCCAAAGCTTTTTCCTTTCTGAAATGTCCCTCCAAGAGGATGCTCATGTCACTGCATGAGCAGAGGGAGGAGGGAGGGGAATAAAATAACTTCATCATATGAAAAGGTTTAGAAGAAGAAGCCTTCAAAGATATGAACGAAATTAGGCTGAGGAAGATGGCTAACATGGTAATTTATTCTAGATAAAGCAGTTCAAAAGGATGGGTCTGGTATTCATTAGAAAGCGAGAGAGAGTGCTTATGAACTGGAATCATGACATCAATTAGTTTCCCCATTAGCGGTGATTGGGGTAGCTGGCCAGCCCTGTGCAAACGAATACATGGTAGGAATTTCTTATGTCAATTCAGCATTACAGCCTAATGTAATTGTTAACCTTGGTACTTCACATTCGTTCTTAGAGCTTAATGAATCAACTGTCTAATTTGTCAATGTTGATTAAAAGATGAAAGAAAGGGGAATATTTTCATGCAGGAAAGAAATTGCTTTTGAAAAAATAGAACTGATCTATTTTGTGTGTATAAAATCAGGCACGAAACTATTTGAAGAAAGCCGAGTTTGGGACCAGACATGCCTCTGGTCCTGGTCCAACTGCACAATGAATATGCTTAAAAATGTGAGAGTGAAGCAGGAGTTTAAGTATTTTACTCAAAAAGCTCAATTTAAACTTATGCTTCCAATCAACCAGACTGGAACCTTTGATTAGACCTCTTAGATCTTTAGTTGAATCAGGATTTAAATCAATGCCAGGCAAAAAGAAACCAGAGATAAAACCAGTTGCAAAATAAAACACACTCTGTTTTGCATGTACTCAAACTTTCCAAAAGCACATAGGAGATTCAAAAGAATTTCAATTTTCAGTTCTCACTGTAAAACCAGTATGCTTTCCGTGATGGTTTTGCATACGAGATATCCAGCTTGTCTAAACGGTTTTGCCCTTTCGAGAAACAAGAGGAGCCAGAGGAAGGGTGCCCTGGGATGGAGGCTGCAGTCACTGCATCCTTTCAAGCACTGAGAAAATCACAGCAGTTAAGAATTAGTTCCTTAATCCCAATGAGCCCCTAGGGAGCATTTGGCTGCATTTATGAAGAGGATCAAAACAAAAAAGAAAAGTGCTAACAACGTGGAGAACATTTAGGCATGTTGCCAAAGGAGATGATACTCATCACATGCATTCTTTGGATACTCCTGCATGGCTTTCAGATCAAAATCCATCAACCTTTTTGTTATTTCTGTAAGAGAATTACAGTCCTCCGGAGGTTTCTCTGTGAATCCCTCCTAGAATTTAAAGTATGGTTCACCTGGAAACACGACAATATAAAACCTCAGCAGGTTCATGATCATAAGTCTGCTTACCTGCCTGCGGAGCAGCCTTTCAGTAGAAGGAGAGTGCACCTGCTGGGAACCCGGGGGTTTGCTCTCCCTCACCAAATGGTCGTGAGCTCTTACGTGGTGAAAATGGTCTTTAGGAATTTGCAGGAGAGAGCTGGTGTCTGCTGGCTGCGACTGCACCGATGCCTTTGAACCTTGCAAGAGAGAGAACAGACAGAAACGTGACATGTTCCGCTGGGGGTTGCGTCCCTGTCTCCATGACCTTTCGGAAAGAACTGTTCCGTTGCTCCTTGGCCGGGACAGGCATGGCGAAACCACTGAATTCAGCAACTGGATCTCCGTGATTGGGAAAAACCTCCCACCTACTAATAAACTACTCCAAAATTGTCTATGATTTCCTTTTTCTTGGCATTTTCCCCTGATCCAAACTGAGACTAGCTCCTGTTAAGAAAAGAAGATTATGAACTAGAAGTTCATCTGGACTGGCAATTTCTACATCCCTGCTTTAGGGCCAGTAACTTTGCAGGCAACCTGAGCACCGCATGGATCTGACTTTGAAGGACTCTAGAAAAGGATGTCTCCGGACCTGAGGGTATGCGGAGACCGACTGCAGGGATCTCAAAACCAGCATGCATGCTGGAAACGAAGTGAAAGGGAACGGCACCTGGCAGCTTTCAAGGCTACTTTTACAAAGCATCCCAAGGAGAAGGAAATACATACTCTCCAGCCTCTTTCTGACCCTTTGTGGTTGCTGGCTACTTCTTCTAAAAGATTTGAAACTCTGCATGCTCCCCCCCTGCCCTCCCCCTGGCTCAACATTTTTCAAAACAATTCATTTAACCTGGACCACATCCCAGAGAATCTCATTTGTCCTGGAATCTTTCCCAGAACAACAGCCCCATTACGAAGGAGTAGTCAAACAAATACCTCCTGCAAGTGCCAGTGTTGCTGACAACAAAACCTTTCTCAGCTTGAAATATTATGGCTTAGCCGTGGTGATTTATTAGAGGCGCCTGGCACCTTTCGCTATCTTCACAGCACTTTATAATATTACAAACTGTAAACAGGTAGGGGTGACTTCCCCCACCCTGAAAAGCTGTGACATTGTAGGTGGAACAGGACAACGATGCAGACGCCAAGATGTGGGCACCTTACCCACCTCTGAGTGCTTTGGCCCGCTTAAGACGATTGGAATTTCACCAGCAGGAGAAAAACACAAAAGGTTTAATTGCTTAATGTGGTTATGAATAAGACGTTGGCTTCATCTTTCCAAAATACTTCTCCTACATCTCAGTGGAACAGTTTTTCCTGTGGATTTACAAGGATGCAATGCCTGCCCCCCGCCAAGCCAGCGCTCTCAGATGGGACTATTCAGTTCTCCAAGCTGGAAGTGTGATCTTGAAGAAAGAAGGGACTCAGAAATTACCCGCTTTTCAGTCAAGTTGATGTAGTTTTTGTTCAAGACAGGACAAACGCATCCAAATTAAGGGTCAAAAATGCAGCACTGGAAAATCCCTCTGTAGCAAATGGGATTCTTTCATACGGTCGGGGATTATAACTCCAAGGAATTTCTTGGCTGTTAGAGAGGGTCGTAAATTCTGGCTCCACTGAAGGTAACGGGAGTTCTGCTACTGGCTTCAGTAGGATTTGACCAGGATTTTAGAGGCACCTTTTGCATTATGTGCAAACAGGTTCTTCAAACACAGCTCTTGACCTTGAAAATTTTGCATTATGGCAGTGATTTCTCACAACTCCAGATTCATCTTCCTCCGTTGTGTCCGCATTTTTTTTTTCTGCTGTTCAACAGTCACTATTCATCCAAATTCTTATTACTATGCAAATTTCAACGTCTTATTTCTAATCTGTTCAAATCTCTTACCATTCCGAACGGTGCTGAAATTATGTTCTGCTTAGAGGCTTTCAAATGACAACGCTTGTAAAAAACTCCTCTGTCTTATCTGTGACAAATGTCTAAAATGATGGCACATACGGAAGCATTAAGGACAGCTACCTTCTCGTACCAGCAGAAGGTAACCCCTAGCAGACAGAGTAAATGAAAGCACCTTGATAAGCACCGGGAGGCAGCTGCAAGAACAGGTTTAGCGGTGCAGGTAGAGACAGAGCCTTTGGTATCTGCAGTACGCTGTATCTAAGAATATCTCTGAATTTAGCTCTAAGGCGTATATCCCAACCACGCAAACTAGGAAGGAAGACTCCACACTGTCTCATTTTTCCATTCACCTCATGCTGAGATCTCTCTGAATTCAGCACATTTATGTTCATTTTACAGGCATTTAGAGACACTATTTTCCCTTCTTTCACAGATGTTCCCATATAGACCTTCCAAAATCTGCTAGAATAGGTACTGCTGCAAAAAAAATAGACATGAGGAAATACTTTTCTGCTGAGGTTTTTGCTCCAGGGCCATAGCTAGCTGAGGTGAGATGGATGGAGCCCAGGCTGTATGGACTGTGACCTTCGGGGAACCAGGCAGGAGGACAATCAGTGTTGAGCCAGGCCAACGGCTCACCGTCACATTGCCAAAACATTCAGAGGAAACGAGCTATTTTGAACAGCCTGGACTTTGTTAGGTTGTGGAGGGTCTTTGCAAGTTGTGGAGGGTCTTTGCAAAGCCATCCCACAGGTCTGGACACCAACACCTCACTAGAAATTGATGTCAATTTGCTGCGTCTTACTAAATAGCTTGGAAAATCTCAGCTATTGCTATATGGGAAAATCCTGCTCTTGTCCCAGCTGACAGATGTGTACCTGACTGGGATTTGTGATGTGCCGGATTCCTTTCGCCCAGGGAGGCAGGGCAGGGGCTGGAGTACGGTGGCTGGAACATGTAGCTGTCGTTTGGCAAAGAGTGGGTGCGCCCCACCGAAGGCTTTCTCACGCTCAGCAGGTCCTTGCTGGGAGACAGGGTCAGTGTGTCTTCTTTGGAGCGGAGATCAGCCTACGGGGAAAAAAAACAGTGAGGAAGGAAGATGTGACAGGGTGGGAAGAGGAGAAGTTCCCAGAAACGCTAGCGACAGCCATTGCAATCAGTATGGCACGATGGGCATGCACATCGTCAGTATGTACAAGTTGCACGAATGGATCTACCAGGAAGCTATACCCCTCTTTTTGTATTGTCAATAAATTGTCACACGGAATGAACCACAGAAACAGAGGAAGCAACACTGTAGTAATAAACCATGACTATTTCAGGGATATGCAAAGAAGGCATCATGCCTCAAGGCCAGCAAAGGTCACATGCTTTGCATAACTTTGATCCTCTGCAATAACAGTAAAGCTCTCTCTATGTGCCCTCATCAGCAAGTCAGACTTTTGCAAAGGTGAGTAGTTTCCTCTTCTAACAATAAAAAAAAACACCAAAAAAAACCCCTAGTTTACAGAAAATATTCTGTATTCTGGCTCCCCGCATAATTTTATTGTTTTTTCTTCTCACATAATGAATAACTAAACCCATTTTATTGAAAGCGATATCTAAACCTACTGCTTCAGGGTTAAAGCCATTCTCTAATTAGAAGGGATCCAATGCAAGGGAGGGTTATTGTATATATGTTGACAGTGGAGTTTTTACAGCTAAAGAGCCTCTTGGAATGGGCAGCACCAGAGGCAATATCAAATGAGGTGGATTCAGGTCTGATTTCACAAGGAAGTATCTCCATCCCAGAAATGTTCTTGGGTGTTATTATGTTGGACAGTTTTAGCAAAAATGGAAGCAAAGTCAACTTCCCTGGATATTTCTAATAAATGAATTATTTCATGTTTAGAAGGTCTCCATTGAAAAACACAGAAATAAGATGTGACACTGTAGTCTGATGCAGTATATTGCTGATCATTTTTGGAAATCTTTAAATCTTATTTTCTGACCAATCTTCCCCTCACTCAGTGCATTACAGGATTTCTGAAACCAACACTGAGATTTTTTTTCCCAATTTTATCCTTCAGTCATAAACCCAAAATTTCACTACAGCATTTCGTTCGCACAAGAAACATAATGAGCTTAAAAGGAATTTACAAAAATGAAAAAAAAAATGAGGAAAAAAGAAGAAAAGGAAAAAAAAGGAAGACCACTGTTGTAAATTTAATGAAGGAAACGGATCTGCACTGTCATGCAGCATTAGTTTCGGTCCTCGGGAACCTGCCGATTTGGATACAGCCTGGATACAGCCTAGATAAGAGAAGCTGCAGTCTCCTGATATAGCGCAGGGGAGGAGAGCGAAACCTGTGCTGGTAAAGCTGAGACTTGGGTTTTGGGAACCTCTCTGTTCCTGCCCGCCTTCCCCTGCAGAGCAGTATGTTTATCCTATTTAGCTTTCCTATTACTTAGCTTAAAGCAGCAAAGATGGTCTGAAATCTGAGATTTCCAATTCAAAACCATTTGGATCTGAACACGAGAATTTGGATGTGAGATCCTATCCAAACCCACCCTTTAATCAACCTTTAGGTTCATTGACAGGATCCAATACCACAGCGGGCTCGTTTCCACTTTCTGATCATCTCAGGGGAAATCTCGTGAGTGAACTTCATGAAAACCATTCAAAGTGGCTGCAAAATGATCTTTCGAGTCCAGCTCACAAACAGAGCAGTGGGAGCACATGACTTTTGGGTTCACTGGTAGTTTTGAAAAACATGTTGTTTTGACTTGACTGAAAATCAAATCTGAGTTTTTGGTGAAACTACAAAAAAAAATCCAAATCCAAATCCATTTTGAGTCAAACAAAGCATTCTGAGATATTTTTCAACTAAAGCTGTGTCTAAATGAAATGTAAAAACACTGCATTTAGAGAAGATATCAATGAAAGCTTGCAGTTTTTCAGGAGTTTGGGAAACCATTTTGACCAAAACATTTTGTTAGTATTGACACAAGTTCACAAAATGCTTTGTCCAACCTGTTTTTTCTTTTTTGGGGAGGGAGAAAAAAACCATCTCTCTTGGCTATACCCTTGAGACTTTACTATGCTGTCAAACAGGTTTGTCTAATCTGACTCAAAACTAGACAGGCTCCCTGCTCAGTCCAGCTCTCCAGACTAACTGATTTTGAAACAAAAAGTCTCATACAAAACATTAAACGTAGTTTACAAAATCTTTTGCACGTGATGCCATGAAGCATGATGGGAAATATTGTCACGGTTTAAGAGATGTTTCCCAAATAAGTGCTAATTAGGATGACAGTCGACTGGAATGGCAGAAAATTTATCAACAACACAAACATCCAATGGCAGGTACATGAACAACAACAAAGAAAACAAGAATGATCCAAAAATGTTGGAAAAGGAGTTATGTCTGTTGTACAGCAGAAAAAAAAGCACTTGACTGCTACACAGCTAAAAATGTCTAATGTTTCAAAGAGGAGATGGTTAAGGCAGGGTTCAAAATACTGGTTATTTCATTCAAAAAGACACAAGATAGTCCAAACTTCCTTTTTTATTTTTTTTTTTTCAGTGAGATGACTGCTAGTAAGAATTCACAAAAGAAGCAGCATCTCAGAGAGATCCCCATCTGATATTTATAAAATAAACAGTCTGGCCCCAATCATGCAGAAAGCCTTGTGGTGCCTGTGTTCATAAAGACAAAAATCCATTACAAACCCAAGGGTTGTAGACGACCCCTCAGCAGAGGACACATGAGTCATTAGCTCATGGGTGTCTCTTCCATGCAGCATCGCTGATTTGTTTCAGATGGGGAGGAAATTTCAACCTTGATACTTTCCATTTTTTTTTACTCTATTTCACTTGTAGAAAACACATTGGTTTTACGTAAGATGCCAAAGGAGAAATAGAAATAAATACTTGTTCCTTGCAAGGAGCCAAGTTTGTGGACAAGAGTGATAACAACCCAGGACCTAATGGCATTAAGGACAATGTCCTGTTCAGGGGAAGGGTTGGTGCTATTTGGAAATGGGCTTGAACTGAAAATGCCATTAGGCAGGCGTAGAGGTGGAAGCAGTATTTCGAACCCTGTAAACATCAGACTATACAGCGACCAGTGTATGTACATTGCTTTCCAGAGCATTAAGTAAGTGTGTGTAAGTATCATCAGGAAAAGAGTCATCCGTCAGAGCTAAGGACCAGGACTTTTCAGAGAGAATATCTGACGTCAGAGACAGAGCCTCCATCTCAGCTAGAGGGATCTAAAGGGAGAGATGATTAAGCATAAGAAACCAGGACACAAATCTTTTGGAAAAGAAAAAAAAAAGTATCATAATCTAAATACTTCTAGACACTAAAGCAATATCCCTGCAGTGGGAGAAGCTACATCATGCACATTGTTACCAGGGACAGAACGTTACAGAAATGAAATATAACAAAGAAATGAAAAAAAGGGTAGGACATTCATACTTAAATGCTTACCAGTGATCTGGGAGGGAGTTTAAAACCTTACACTAATGCTAGCATTGTATTGTGTTGTTCTCCTGTCTAGATGAAGAAGCAAAAGTAACATTACATTCATACTAGAGATATTTATCCTCTTGGCTATGATCAAATATAAGAGGTTTCAAGATCTTCCAAGTTCTCTGAAGTTGTTCCTACCCAATAACCACACTGTTTTCTTGGCCTCTAAAGCTAATCTGGTTGAGTCCACAAAGATTCCCCAACACTAAAATCATTTCGCAGGTTGGACTATGACGAACTTCCTAATGGGGAAGATGTCCCTTCCCTAAATGGGGACAGGGAGAAACTTAAGGCTTGATTTGGGTCAGTGAATGCCTTCCTGGTGCCTTCAGTGGGGTCTGGCCCACTAAAGAGCCTCCAGTGCCTGGGTAAGCACCAATAACTGTCCTACTAAAAGACCCGCCTGCGTCTTTCAGCCCCCAAATGCCACCCCAGCCCAAACGGCCCCAACAGCACCGAGCCGGGGGTGGGTGCCGCACCGATGCTGCACTGGTGCTGTCTGGCACTAACGCATCTGTGCTGGAGGCGTGAAGTAATCGACAAAAATCTGTATCAAAATATCGATGAAGCTCTCTCCCTTGACACAGAGCTCTTTTTGTAAGAAATGTGAAACACCACTCCGGGTTTTGGAGAGAAAGTGGGGAAAGAGGGGACTGCAGCATCTCACCCAGAGCAGTGTCCCCGCTGCCAGGCATGGCAAGGAGCGACACTTGCCCTGCAGTGCAGGCTCAGCCCTCCCCAAATCCCCACCCTGGCTACATGCCTGAGGCTGGTGCCCGTGGCAGCGGGACAGTGGCACTGGGGACAGCATTTCATCGGTGACCTACAGACCAGGCTCATGCTCGCAGGGGCCTCCTGATTCCAGACAAGTCCCAGGTGCTCCCTTTTCATTTCTCACTGTGCTTTTTTTTGCATTCCTATCCTCTATGCCTGAAAAAGCCTTTCAACAGCAACGTGTCTTCCAAGAGAAACCACAGAGGCCCAGATCTGCTGCACTTTACTTGTCAGAGGGCTGGATTTTCTCACTCTTAGAAACAGCATTGGTGGGGTGAAATAAACCCAGTGATGAGTGAACCTTGAGAGGCTCAGAACTTCAGCTGAGATAAGGAAGAGAGTCGGGCTTCTCTCATCTAACCTGGGGTTCGATATCTTCTCTAACACAGTCATCCGCTGGCAACGGATGAGAGAGATGCTTTGAAGAAGCTCCTGGTTTCATACGAGGCTCCCAAAAAAGCATCACCAGCATGAGGCCAGCCATCCCTAACGGGGACCTACCGGCCGGAGCCCGACCGTGCAGGGAAGGGCTGTGCTGGAGCGTGGTGGACACCAGCTCTGCTGGGAGCTGCTATTAATCAGGTTGCTTTCAGCAAGTCCCAGCGCTGCTCTAAATTCCTGACTTGCCTGAGAACATGACAAATGGTATGAACAGAAAAGCCAAAACGTAAACAAAACATCACCACCCCCCCTTCAGCCTCTCCTCTCCCAAAACTGAGTTTGAAGCCATCAAAACATTTCGTTGGAAACATTCAACTGATTTATATGGGTTTTAATTACAGGGGGGGAAAAAGAAAATAGCTTAAATTTTAAAAGAAAAAGCCATTGCAAACCGGAATGCTATATTTTTTCATTACAAAAACGTCAAAACAAAACCTTTTTTTTTTCGCTGCAGCAGCACTTTCTGGTGAAAAATGTTGTGACAAAAAATTTCCAACCAGCTCTCGCTGAGTTTCATACTGACCCTCTGCCTTCCCCGCCAAAGCTACCGTCTCTATTCCTCCGGCAATTCTTAGAGGCGACCACTTCCTATAGCTTAATAAACCTCAATCTGGAAAGGGACACGCAGCAATCAGAGGGAGACATGTTATCCCGCTATATAAAGATCTGCAGTAGGATTTCATTTTACCTAAGCTCGTTCCTTTCCTCTAATGAACCACCGAGTTGGATAATTTAGAGTGTCAGTGAGCTCATAAATAAGCACACTCATTTAACAAGAAAACTTCTCCTATTTTTAGCCAGAAGGGAAAAAAAAAATAATTCAAGAAATATGGAATTTGCTCAATTCCAACTGCAGGAAAAAATAGGTATTCTTGAATTATTATTATGGTCACTGCTGTGATTTAGGGAAAATATTTGCTCTAAAGAATAACACGCTTGAGAAAGTAGGTGTTTTATTCTAAGAAGTAAATGAACTAATTTTAAACAAGTATTACAGCCCTTGTTCGAGAAAGCACTGGCGCACACGACTACTAAAGTACATCGTTAAGGGCTGCCTCGCCTTCTAAATTCAGTTTGGATCAGAGATGAGGATCTAGTTTACAATGACCCACTTGCAAGAAGCCTCTTTAGGAAAATCATTCAAAACTGGATTGTCATGCAGTGTAAGTAGGCACAAAATGTCGAGACTGTTTTATGACCCCCCCCTCCCCAGCCCCGGCTCTGCTCTGGGCACTCCAGGCTCTGCAGACGTGTCCTGACACTGCTACAGAGTCCTGGATGTGGGCAAGGAGCCAGCTTAAGAACCCCACCGAAGGATGGAGCCGGGATTTTGTCCATTTTCCCCTGCAACACTCACAAACAGTAAATCCCAATGGAAAACTTCTTACTGTGTTGAAGAGAGAAACTCAGAGCCTGTACCTTTCCTCTTGCATTGATACATGACATCCTAAACCAAGATATTATCTCAACTCCCACAGAAAAAGCCAAAGTGATTTCTGCTTCAAAACCCCTGTGACTACATGACACAAAGTAAAGAACTTTAACTCTCCGTCAAAGGTCTCAGTCAAATTGAGTTTGGATGGAGACTTTGCAGGAAATTAGGAATATTAACCTGGTTTTCAGAGTTGTAATATTCGGGAGCTGGGAGGGCATAATGATGGCACACAGAGCCTGACAGGTTGTCCATCAGCTTCAGCTCTCCTTCCAGAGATTCCTGGATCAGCAGTGATATGGTATCAAACAAGTGCCTTTCCTAGGAGGGGTGGTGTGTGGCATGCGGAGAGAGGGAGCAAGCCAAAAAGGAGAGGGGGCAAAGCGAGGGACAGGGACGGAGAGAAAAGAGGACAGAGTGTAAAGCCCAGCGAACAAAAGGGGATAAAAACAGAAGAGAAGGAGGGGGGGAAAGACGGAAACGTTCAGGGAGAATAGCGGTGACAGAAACAACGGGACAGGAGAGGAGAGGAGAGAGAACAGTGCAGTAATATCACGGTGAGCAGTGACAGCTTTCTCAGACATCGCTAGAGCCGGGGCTGACGGCAGCTGCCCCGGGGCCGCGGCTGCTCCCGCTCAGGGCCCTTCACGGGGACGATTCTCCCTCTCAGCAAACATGGCCGGTTACTCCTGGGATCTGGGCTGTGTAACGGGGCCAGTACAGCAGCATCTTGATACTTGGTGCTGTGAAATGCTACAGGACGCTACTGCTGTAAGGTTTCTATACCCACTGTCCATGTTTTTGAGCAAGAGGACCCAATACTTGACACCTAAATCCATATCCAGAGGGCACATAAATTAAAATAACCTGACTGGAAGAGAAGCTGAGCATCCTGTCCATGAAAGCTGCAGATGACCAGGACGGACACACGTCAGGTCACTAATTCATGTGCCAGACATGGGTTGAGGTGCCTCAGTTGTACTGGCCAGCTTCAAAGTGGCTGGCCACAGCACGAGGCAATGGGAGGTTATACAGAGCAGGGTCTGGCTTTTGCAGGCAGCGTGGGAGCAATTTGAGGGTTGCACCTTTCATGTAGGGAATGCCTACTACATACGGTGAAATGAAGGCCATCGTTACAAACAGCACACACTGCAAAAATCCTGGGGAAAAGGCAAGCAAAAGAGCATGCTGACCACACGTCCTTGCAGGGTCATGTCCTGGGAATTGTATTCCTCTGCTGTCGTGCTCAAGCATCAGATTTGGCCTGAAGATTTTGGCAGGGAGAATAAATAGAATAAAATCTCCTGGAGGTTTTTGAGGCTTCTGTTTGAGTGAAAGAGCAAGAAACACACACTCTGGATGTCATGATTAGAATAAGCCCTTTCCAAAGTCACCTTGAGAGAGGGCAGGTTTTACAGCCTGAGGAGCTGAGACTATCCTTCCTACTGATTTGTCTTGCAATTCCTCTTTTTGCCAGTGTGAGTACTGATGCTGAGGACAGGTTGCCAGTACTCGGCTTAATGTGTACAACAACAGTTGGGACGTGTTATTTCTTCCTATAGGATGTAGTGAATCTGGATTTCCCCATATTACCCTGAACTCCTTTTTCCTGTGCCAAAGAGCAGCTGTGGAGTCCAGCTCAGACATCAGTGACTTCTAATGGCACTCGAAATTTCCAGTAGCTTAGGAACTGAAACAAAGCTTAAGCAGGGATTTACTCTCTTTCACCCTTGGACTAAAGATCATAAATGAGTTTTTCATGCATTAGAATATTCATTAGTCCACCCCAGGCAGAAGCCAAGATATGGTGTTGTGAAATCATGACGTAATAAAAGTTAATGAGGTCTGTGTAGGGCTTAACCCAATTTGCAATCAGCTAAGACTAAAAAAAGGCTGGACCGTTTTTCTTGCATAATTCCAGTTCAGTTCCCTCCCAAAGGACCTGTCTGGGTCTCGACCTCACCTCTCTCATCCCTCAAACTGAGTCCTCATCCAGAAACTGTCCTTTAGAGAGACTTGTTGCAGCTTGTAGCAGCTACCACATTCCAGCCTTGCTTCTGCTAGCAGGAGTTTTGCCACTGGTTCTGGTGAGCTCAGGTTTGAGTCCCCTCTGGATTACTCTATTGTTAAAATAATCTTTTCTTACAAGCTTGACGGTGGGGATGGATTTTAAATTGAGGTTACATATAACAAATTTAATACTTAAGCAAAGATTAGCCGAGTTTTATTCCTCTTTTATGTTGCAGTTCACGGTTTGCATTAGAGAAGCAAACACGTTACAGTCATGATTCTGCTATCAGAAAGGGCCTAACCCAAACTCTAGATAAGAGCAAATTCAGCTGGCTCTGAAGTTGGCGGCTTGGGCACATCTCCAGAACAAATCGCAAAGCTCTCCACCTCCGAACAGATGCGTCAAGGTGGTCTGGAGACCTGCCCAGGGTCTCATCCCTGGAGCATCGGTTCCCACACCACGCAACAGTCAGCCAGCAGACAGCGAGGAATACAAGCCCTGGACGTACGGTACACCCGCTCCTTCATTACCAACTCGTGCATGTCTTCCCCTAGCAAATATGCAGGTCAAGCCCTCTTCACCCTCTAACTGAAATTCTCACCATAGGGTAAACTAATGAGAGCTGAGAATCCACCTTGATGTGCACGGGATTGGTACATCCTCGGGGGCTCTCGGGTCTCTCTCCACCGGCACTGCCTGTCCATGCAAAGATGTCCGAGGGGCTGTGTTGGCCGGGAGTGATTGTCTTCATTTCCATCTCCAGTTCTGCTTCCAGCTCCGCCTCCTCCTTAGCTTCCTTGTTGCTCTCCTCCAAGTGCTTCATAAGCACGGCGATCACCACGTTCACCAGGACAAACTGGGCCGTCAGCACAAAGGAGACGAAGTAGATGGGTGAAATGACGGTGTTGTAACAGGTGGACTCCTGGTCACAGTCTCTCAGCGTGTCCTGGAAACGGGGGAGATGATGAAGGGATGTGAAGAGGTTCCAGTATGGACCTTGGTCTGCATTCTGGTCATCTGGCTGCAATGGGTTCTCCTTTCGTGGAGAAAACTGGGAAGACTGGGCAAACTTCATGTCTAGAATGGCAAAATACTTGCCGATAAAACCTTATGTTTCTGTTAGTCACTACAAGCAGGCTCAGAGGAAACTGTCCTTGGGGTGTGCAACACCAGACACGGACACCCTGCTGCTCCTAAAGGAAAGGCTGTTTCATCAGGGTAGCAACCAAATACACAAGAGCGTGGCAGATGGATCCGGGGCAAAGCAGG